GGCGCTGGATGCTTCCCACATCGATGATCTCCCGTCGCAGGTCCACCGAGCTCTTCCGCACCCGCTCCTGGCCCTTGGGCAGACACACAGCACCGCATTTGCGTTGTCCGCACCCAGCCATCCTGTGGCCCCTCCACACCCAGACTCCCCTTACCTTGACAGACTCAAGGCCACGGTTCCTGGGGCCGTGGCGTTTCTCCTCCTCCAGCTCGGGTGTGCTCATCCGCTCCACGACCGGCGGCTCTCGCATGCCATCCTCTTTGATTCTCTGGACAAGGCACAGGGGGGCTGTGTGGTCCTACTGGGGCATGGAGCAGTCCCACCACCTCCATTCCCAGTCCACCAGCAGAGGTGACTCTGGGCATGGCACACAACTCACCTTAGAGGTCTCTGGGATGCCTGATAGCCCTCAGGCTTGTGCTTGCCCAATTGACAAGCTGGGTGCCTGCCCACTGCTCAGCAAGAGCTCCCCATTTGGGAACCTGATGCCTCTGAGAGCCCTTGGCCACCTTGCTACATGCCCCATGATGGCAGGGCCAGTGCCAGCCTCCTTGCACCTAAGTGCCTAAGAATGGGCACAGCACAAAGCGGGTCCCTGCCGCAGCCTGGACAGGTCCCCCTGCGTACAGACCCACCTTCTCCTCCTCCTTCTCTTCCTCTGCCAGCTTCTGCTCAATGAGCTCCTTGGCCCGTTCCACGTCCAGCTCCATGTCTGCTTGTAGTACAGAGCCCCATACAAGATATGGCCTCTCCTCGTGTCTGGCTCTGGCTCCTGGAGCTGCTGGGGGCTCCACTGGCCACTGGGCTTTATGCCGCCGGCCCCTCTGTCCTGCAGCCCAAGGGCACCAACAGCTGTGGCTGCTCCACATGACTGGGGCAGCTTTGCCATGAGCTCACCCTCCTGCTTTCTGGTGGCCCTGGCTCACCTCCCCAGCCCTGCACCCTCTTAAAGAGACCCATTGCCCCCCACCATGGGTTGCCCAGGACCCCTGTGCTGCATGTGGTGAGCTGGGGTGCGCACAGTCCTCAGCAGCTGGTCCAGAAAGCTTGGCAGTCTTGAAGGATGGTCCAGGGTCACTCTGCAGGTCCCCTGTCCATGCCACCCACCCTGGGCAGCCAGGATGTTTCCTGCAGCTCCAGTCACCCCATCCCCATGCAACCAGATGCTGCAGCACCCTCCAGCATCTCCCAGGGCTCTCTGTCACCCAGGGAGGGTTCTGTCCACCACAAAAGGAGGCGATGGGCCCCCCCAAACCTCTCAGCCAGCAGTAGGCAGCATGTGATGCCAGGAGTCACAGCCCCTCCGTGCCACTTTGGAGGATGACCTCAGGTGTGGAGCGTCCCAAGCAGCCCTGCCAGGGACCCGGTGGCTGCCTGTCCTCCCCCGCTGTGCACGGGCAGCTTGGCAGCAGGGCCAGCCTCATGTGGGGCTGGCACGCAGAGCTGGCAGCTATTCCTGGCAGTGGGGACATTGTTTAGCCCTCCTAGGCTTTGCTCTCCCCCTTTGTAAGATGAGGCCAGTGCTGTCCTGTACTGGGACAGTTAATGCGTTGGGCACTGGCCCCTAGCACAGGACCTGGGGGAAGGACAGATGGTGACATGTCACTGTCACCCTCCTAGGCAGTTCCCAGGGCCCTGTCCCATGGGTGCCACAGTCTCTGCCTGCAGAAGGGTGCCGTTTTCACCAGGACAAGCAATGTCAGCTGTGAAGGTGGCCATGGGACCATCCCCCTCCATGGACTGTCCTGCCCAGCCCCTGGGCAGCCACAGGCTGAAACCCCCAGAGGGAAGCACCGAGGGGCAGCTGGGATGGTGATGGGATGATACTGGCAGCACTGGGGAAGGGTCCAGGCTAGCAAAGAGCTGGGAATGGTAGGACAGCCTGGAGTGGCACTGGAGAGCAGAGCTGGGGTGCCTGGGCTCTCCCCAGCCATCCTGTGCCCATCCTAACATGGGAGTGGACATAGCATGGGCACATGGCCCTCCCCTGGCTGCAGGTGACAGCCAGCCCTCACCAGCCTGCCCCAGAGCCAGAGGAAGGATGAAAAGGTTTTATTGATAAATACAGATTATGTACAAAGGGGAGACATCTCCTCCCAGCCCAGCACCCTGGGGCCTCCTGGCCAGGGGGATCTGGAGGCCAGCGGGTCATGGCCTCCCCCACCAGCACAGCCTGGCAGCGGGATCCTGGCCATGCCGACCCCTCCAGAGACATTTGGTCTCGAACCTCCTGCAGGAAGGATGAAAAGGTTTTATTGATAAATACAGATTATGTACAAAGGGGAGACATCTCCTCCCAGCCCAGCACCCTGGGGCCTCCTGGCCAGGGGGATCTGGAGGCCAGCGGGTCATGGCCTCCCCCACCAGCACAGCCTGGCAGCGGGATCCTGGCCATGCCGACCCCTCCAGAGACATTTGGTCTCGAACCTCCTGCAGCAAATGCAGCATGTGCCCATGTCCCCAGCTGAGAAGGGACACCGTGGTGGCACAGCCCCATGCAGCCCATCCTGGGGGGGGGTCACCCTGGGATGAAAGCCAGGGCTGCCCCTACTCTGGCAAGACTGGGTCACAGCACAGGG